TCTGTCTACCAGCTCCAGAGGCCAGTTGCTTTGAGGGCCATCTGTCTTACTGGTAAAAACTGAGGCAAAGTAGGTGTTAAGTACCTCAGCCTTCTCCTCATCTCTATTAACTATGTTTCCCTCCAAGTCCATCAAAGAATGGAGGTTTTCTTTGCCCCTCCTTCTGTTATTAATGTATTTATAGAAGGAACTGCAGCCCTCCACAGTCGGAGCACCTGCCCGATGTAGCTCGTGAAGAGTGCCTGAGTGTGATGCAGGATTCTGTGACTTTGGTGTTAATTCAGCCAATAGTGCCTGCATTTCCTTTAATGATGACTTTGGTGGCATAAGGCACAATCAAGAAAGCTCTTAAATGACCTGTCAGGTATTGCTGGTGTTCCAGTTGACTGTAAAAGCCATGTGGTTTGTTTTTTCAGGCTGGGTGTGTTTTGAGGTCAAAGTGGTCTCGCATTAGTGAGATGACTATGACTTGGATCCTACTTCAATATCCCAGGCACCACATGTAACAACAGCAACCTATATTATGCCCCCTGTATTATGCTATGGAAACACCTAACTAAAACATTTTGGTAGCTGGTGTCACACCATCCTAGTACAATGAGAATTCTTCCCCAATTTTTATCCCTCTGATGGATCTCATATTTGTGTGGCTGACAGTCTAATGCGGTAGGGTCTTACATCTGAACAAGCCTGTGCAACAAACAGCTATTTGGTCCTGCACTTTGACACAGTTTTTCAGTCCACATTTTATCTTTTTTCATCCATATAATATCTGAGGGCCTCAAATCCCTTCTACTTTCGCCCTTTAATTCTTAGAAAAATCAGCCATAAGAGCGACTCCTGTGTCCAACCTACCTAAAGGAAAATAGATGCAAGGAATGGGATACTTGAATTCCTGGCCTTCACCAGGGAGAAAAAGTTGACTTTTCCATCTGTTGCAAATATTTGTTTAGAAAGGCTTTGAGAAACAAATACTGAAGTCTTCAACTAAAGAAAAGAAAATCTTAAATAGGGATTATTAAAGCAAAAAACCTTTAAAACTTGCTCTTGGGAATTTAAAATTATGAACTGACTGTTTCCCAAGAGAAACAGAAAGAACATCTTATTGTGACGTTCAGAAAGTCC